CGATGTGGCAGCCGTGGCAGAAACAGGATCTCGTTGCTCTCGAGACTCCTCAACGACGGGCAACCAAGAATGTCAGGGGCCTCTTTCATCTCCCCTATCAGCTTAGACTGAAATCTCTAAGAATGTACAGCAGTCGATATCGGCTTTTGCGGGGGGGATCTCATAATGGTTTACCAGATTCTGAAGAACCCAAACCACATTTGCCGTGCGCTTTTGGAATTGAACCACAACACTAAACTAAGAGGTCACCCTCTGAAACTGACAATTCAGTATAGCCGGCTCGAATGCCGCAAAAATTTCTTTTCACTCCGCGTGTGCCAGCCTTGGAACGCCCTCCCTAATTATGTCGTCTCTGCTCCCAATCTGGCAATATTTAAAAAACGTGTTGACGATGCATTGTCTCACTTACATTTCATTTTATGACTTGTTAGTCAGGAGCTACAAAACGCAATCAAACGGTTTCTTGCCAAACGCCTAACCAATGGATTTATAGTTTCATATGTTTCATACGCGAACTTCTCCGCTATTCCGCATAAGTCTATGGTGAGTCCACCACAACGCTTTTCCTTTTATCATGCAATTGATTTTCACAATAATTTTCCATCCTACGGGACTTGTTAAGCAACGCTTTTTTACCCGTAATAAACCATTGTTCCATTGTTCCATTATATGGGATTTATTGCTCTCCGCTTCAAGTACAAAATCGCTTATGTCCCTGGGAAAGCAAATATGATTGTGGACGCTTTGAGTCGTTCACCGTAGAATCACCTACCAGATGGTGTACTTAAACCTGGGGAGCTTGTCCATCTTCTGCAACATTTGGACGAATATCCGGGGTCAAATGCAGATATCTGTCAGGAAACTGAACAGGAAACATTACTGGCCAAACTCAAGCGACTAGTCTCTCAAGGTGGGCCTGACAGCTGCGAACCGCAACTACTGCCCTACTTTATCCGACACACAGAGCTCTTTCTTGAGGATGGGTGCTTGCTTTGGCGATCTAGGGTGTTCGTACCACCACACTGACGAGAGGTCTTACAAGAACTTCACGAAACGCACCCAGGAATCACGAGAATGAAGGCACTTGCGCGATCTTATGTGTGGTGGCCTAATATTGACAGAGATATCGAAGAGTTGATCCGACACTGCGACGTGTGTCAAAGCACTCAGAGGAATGCCCCTCCTGTACCACTTAGTCCTTGGAAATGGCCCAGTAAACCGTGGGAACGCATACACGCAGACTTCTTTGGCCCGTTGGATGGAAAAATGTTTCTCCTCTTGATTGATGCTTACTCGAAATGGATAGAAGTTTTTCCACTTGCACATGCCACTTCTGAGACGACCGTTTCTTGCATGCGGACGTGTTTCAGTACCTTCGGTATACCACATACGCTGGTAACAGACAACGGTTCCGTATTTACTAGTCAAGCATTTCAAGTGTTCCTCAAAAGCAACGGCATACATCATGTGAAATCAGCCCCCTACCACCCAGCTTCAAACCGTTTGGCTGAAAGAGCCGTCCAGACGGTCAAGAACGGGCTAGGGAATCAAGCGTTTTCTCCAATGCGAACAAACTTGGACAACTCTTTTTGGCTACCGCACCACGACAAACGAAACTACTGAGAAGAGCCCAGGCGAGTTGATTTTCGAATGGAGCTTGAGGACACGACTGGATTTTCTGTTTTCTTACCAGAGACTACGTGTCGAAGCTAAGCAAGATAAATCTAAGGCAGAGTACGACCAGAAGGCTTCCGATCGAAGATTCCGCGAGAATGAACCGGTCTACGTCAAGTTTGCCAACGAAACGACCAGACAGCCAGGAGAGTTGCGCGAAGTTGCGGGACAACCTACGGAGGTGGTTTTATCTGATGGCGAAGTAGTTGCTCTGCACAAGGATCAAGTCCGTCATCGTTCCGCTTCAAGTCCGCCAGATGACGCGTCCCCAAAACAGCAAACTGCGTTGACAAAGACGCAGAGCTCTCCAAACTCTGGCCAACCGGAGGCTCAGTAATGTCGCCTTTCAACTCGACTACGCTGACTCGTCGACCAATATCAAGCTAGCTGGAGTGGTCCAAACTAAAGTAAGAAGGAATGCGGCATCCTCACAGCTTATGTACTGAGTCCTTGTTATTCGTTGTCTGCATTCATTGGCCCAGTTTCTAACAGCGGATCAATACGTTGTACAACATGCCGGTTAGAATAGTTTTGTCTTCCTTATGCCTGACGTGTTTTGCTTTGTGATACTTCGGCTAAGAGCCAGTCACTGTGCATTAGTTCCGCAGTTGCCAGTGACAGTCACACACTGCCCTGTGTATTGAGAGAGAACGCGGTAAAACCAATCTGCCCGGACTTGAAACGGACGCAGGCTGGTTTCAGTTCACACGCCGGTCTAAACGCCGCACTGTCAGGTGACTGCTGGTGTGAGTTTTATCCTGTTTAATGGCCGGATCGCTGGTCGTGAAAGGGTGCGGTTGAGACGACTGCAGAGTAGATCGATCGCCGTCAACCGATAAAACTGGTCAGCCGATGCGGACGGCTGGCTGAGAAATCTTCAAAATCAACAATAAGACGATTTAGGTCATAAGGCCATGGAATAATTCCTACGCTTGGCAATACATTGGATAGAGCTGGTAATTTCCTGTCGGATGAGTGGAACTTGGGCGATGTGTGATGAAATGTGTAGGGAAAACCACACTACAAGGCGGATCACAGGATGATGGAAAAAGAATTGCACAGTTTCACAAAAGGTGATAGATATCCATCTAAATATTTTCCGGTTACGGAAAGAACACAAAAAGGAATTGAGTGATATGTGATATTTTAATGTGAGTAAAGATTGCACGTGAATAACGCACAAATTGTACAAGTTGTCGGAGCTTTCATTTTGTGTTCACTTGACAGTGCCCTTGAAGCTGCTCCTTGCGATGGCAAATAGCATTATACAACCAGAATTGTGCAAACAGAGGGTTTTGTTGCATTCCTTTCTTCTAACTTGTTGGTAATTACTTTCCCAACATATCTTAATTCTCGCGTTGACGGCAACCGGATGAGGCGCTTGACATTTCACCGATCGATCAAAACGTGCTCTCTCGTTCTAAAGGATCGACGACTTTATCTATCATGACCCTTGTGATTCTGACTGTGGAATTTGAGTTGTTCTCCGACCTGAGTGATTATTTTGCAAACGCTTCGTTGTCAGATTAGGCAACATTATCAGGGCGACTTCAGCGGCCTGGTTTTCAGTGCGATTTCGTGATTCCACTAATGCTGTCCTCTCTTCACCAGCTGATTGCCCTCTTAGATTCTGTTTCACAATTGTAAACGCCTGAAGAGCTATGTCGAAAATACTACTCTTCTCAAACTTACGTTCTTTACTTACTAGCTAAAATCAAGTTTAGTATTCGCTTTTGGATTGAGCGAACTGAAAGTGCCTTTGGAATACTCCGTCAACATCGCGGCATACTCATTCAGTTTGTTACGATCTTGACGACTCCCAAACCCATAATCTCTAAGCTTGTTACTGAATTCTCGCTGCATCTTCCGCTTATACCTGTTTTGTGAAAGTTGTTGCAACTAATAATCTGTTAGGCCTAGTCACTATCCTTTGTTTTTTACCCTATGTCAGGCTCCCTGCTACGAGCAACCAATTTTTAGTTTGCTCTCACGAACCCAAGATCAGCGCAACATTTGGTACTGCTACATGTACCGGACCAAATCCAGAAACGCTGCCACCGACCACAATGTGGATTCCGCTAGGTGTGAAATCCCAACAGTAAGTTTCTTATTGGTCACTAACTGTCCTCGGACAAGCGTTTCTGCAGCTTAATGTTGTTAAATGAAAATAGAGAACAGAATTCGTACCCTTCAAAGATATAACCTTACACAATATTTGAGGACATACAATATTTTTGTTGTCATGTTTTCTGTTTAGTTATAGATATTGTCAGTTTTGCCGAACATGCAGGAAAATTTATAAATGTTGTATGTGGGAGTCAATGATTTGCTTATTCATTGGCAATTTCCAAGCGGAATGAGCAGTTGTTCCACCAGATAGCAATGTCGCAGCTATTCCGCCCGAAACGAAAGCTAAGGCCATGTTGTTTTTGCATCGCATTTCTGTAAAAACCTAATTTAAGACGGAACATTTTATCAGTTCCTCCTGACGCATTTACGAAGAAGATATCTCTAACTACGTTATTAATAGTCTACATTGTTTGATCGTAAATGCCATTTTGCTTCAAGTTTAGCTTACGAATATGGTATTGCACATCGGACGAAATGTCACCCGTGTTGCAATGTTGTTCATAATGCAATTCGACAGCGAAAGACCCAACGGCAAATCGATTCGGTGATGGCATCCTCAATTGATTGAAATATTTATTCGCGATTTCAAGAGACAAATCTTCACTCATTATCAACGCTTCGTTGTATATTTCTACTGTGAAATCCATGTTCATATCTGTATATTCATTGTGTATTCGACGGAAACTATCATCAGCCTTGTGGGATTTATATGATCAAGGTCATCCTCACACACGCGTGACGTGCGTGCTACTGGTTCATTTGGATTATTTCCCTCTATCCTCTCTCCATCTTCTCGCAGCGTTGTCACTGTACGCTCATTCGAACCGGATTTACCAGCTCTACACAGTGAACCATCATGCGTGGAAATATCTTCTACTATTAGAGGCTGTGTCATAACTAACCGTTTTCACTGGCATCTGTGATTAAGCGCAAGCGTTTAATTCAGTCATATTGAGTCGATTGCCTTTCTGTGTGACACAATTCTATACAGAATTCTCGAGGCAGGCCGAAAAGCCTAAGCTTACTCCGATCCAGTGTTTCTCAACACAGCTGTGAAAGAATCAGTGTTCAGCGCTCTGTTCAGGTTGCAGTCACTCGCCATTCCTTGTGACCTTGTCAGCCAGTGCGGCTGCATAACCCATCACACGGACCGCGCGACCACGCCGACCGCTCATTTGACCTTGCAACCACCACGCTCGCCTGACCGATGTGCGCCGCTCTCAAAGCTGTAAAAATACAGAACGCTAACCAACCCACTGGGTCAGGTAACGATACCAAATTGAATGGCAGAAAGGCGAAACCGAAGAGATCCCAAGCGAACGGCGTTTGCGGGTTAGGAGAATGTCATCGAGTAGTAAAAATCGGTCTGGCTTGTTCGCACTGTTTGGAATGGTACCATATGAAATGTGCAAAGGTGTCCCAACAAGAGTTACGGGAGCGAAATAGCTCCCAAGATGCATTTTGCTTCTGTACTGCGTGTTCCACCATCCCCTCGTTAAGTGCTTGCTTATCCTAGCTGAGAAATGCGACCGGTTAATCGCAGAAGCAGAGTAGAGGATAAACAATAAGATTACTTCAATAGAAGCGAGTATGGACCACAGAAGCGTAGCGGCTGCTAAGTAACGGAATGCTGACCAATCCGCTTCCCCTGCACCGCAATCAACCACGTCTCCATCTCCGTTGTCTTCTCCAACTTTGGTAGAACGCCGGGCAAAAACAGACTGTACCTACGTGAATCAAACAGTACTCACAGCAACGAAAATCAGGCACCATTCAAAACGTCTAGTTAAGCAAATTCCACTAGACCTGACATCTAGTATTAACAAGGATGAAGCAGCCAAACACCAACCCTTGGTACCTGCAGCTCAAATATCTCTTGTCGAGACTAAGCCTCCCAGAACATCGGTTACATATGCAGACATTGCTGCAAGGGTCCACCAGAGGCCGCCGTTGCGTCCTCTGCCATTGTAAACACCGTTAACGCAAATAGAGAGAAAAAGAGCAAACAATCACTTGTCAACAAGTCAAGACAAATGAGTACCATACCTTGTAGATCGATTAAAATGGGATCCAACAACAGTGCCCGGACTGTTGTATGCTCAAATGTCCCTGAATCTACCGCCATCACATTGCGGGATAAGTTATCAGACGACCAAGACCAATGGAACTCATTGTGTATGCAGATGAGTATCAAAGCCAAGCCCATAAACTTGTTACGAATTACTCGTCATCCGAACTCGCCACACTATGGTGAGCCCAGACTTATTCGAGCAACTCTGGAATCCTCCACCGACGTAGAAAACGTTTTGCTCTCCGCAAGCGCGCTAAAACACGGATCCTGTGGGATACGTATCTATCCTGATGTCTCTTGGAGCGCGCGACAACCAAAACGAAACACCGAAGAGGGGCACAGCAAGCAAGACCGCCTAAACACAATCTTCATACATGGCGTGCCAGATCATCCTTCTAACGAGGTTCAAGAGGCCGGAAAGCACGATTTAGAACAGTGGTGGTTCATTCGTGAAACATTTTTTTTGGATAATGTTGTGGCACTATCACTCACCAGGATACCTCTCTCACCAAATTATAGAGGATGCGGCCCTAGAATCCTAAAACTTGTGGTTCAGTCAGAGCAACAAGCAAAGGATGTTTTGGATCGATGGCGGAGAAATCGGAAACATCTTCCTTCCGAACTTCGGTTAAAGGTCGCAATCACTTTGCACAGCTCAAATATTAAAGCAACTGAAGCAGCAAGCATACTGACGAATGTACAGAAGTGTAACTTGACTGCTGCTTTAATTGGCCCTGACGTAGATCTAAACGAAGGCTGGGACGCACCTTGGCCGAATCAAGTTGCAAACGAGGTATCATTGACCCATCAAAAAGACGAGTAACTGCCGACCTCCCATCGGTCGGCATTCTCCCACACTTGACAGATTCACCTCTCTGCGGGCTCCTAGAGACCAAGAAACTGGCCTGCTTGTATACAAATGCTCAGGGTCTTTCTAACAAACTGGCTGAACTGAAAGATCGCCAAGCTTCCGGCTCGTATGATGTTAGTGGTATCACCGAGACATGGTTGCACACGGGAATGACGGACGCTGAAGTTTTGCTACCCGGCATGTCGCTGATCCGGAACGACAGGCTCACAAAAGGAGGAGGCGTAATCCTGTACTACCGAAACGACTTACAGTGCGAAGCCGTGGAGGATTCAGACTCGCAGTTCCCTGACTCTCTTTGGTGCCGGTTGCAGTTAAAAGGCAGGGACGCTTGCCTTATTGTCTTGGTGTACCGCGCCCCTAACTCAACACCCGAAACCGACTACCACCTAATGGCTGCTTTAAGGTGCAGTTTACAACAAAAGTACACTCACATTCTTATCATGGGTGATTTCAACGTACATTGTTTAGAAGCCCCTGCCACGATCGGAGAACAATTCAAAGTCGATCTACAAGATCTAGTAACTACTGTCCCTCTTTACAACCACATCATTTTGCCCACTCGGTTCAGAACTGGTAACAGGCCATCTGTGCTGGATCTTGTGCTTACCAACGAGGAGCATATGATTGATGCGTTGGTTTTAGACTGCCCGTTGGGTCGCAGTGATCACGCAGTCATCAGTTTCAACTTCGTCTGCTATGCAGAATATCTGAATGATAACGATGATACTGTGCGAACCATCACAAGGTACGACCGACTCGCCCATCTAGTCAGCGCCACAACATGGTCTTTCCTCTAAGAAGAACCCCCGGAAGTCGCCTGGCTCAAGTTTGTCAACACATTCAGTCAGCTGATTGCACAGGCTTTAGAGATAAAAGCTTGCAATAAGTGCAAATCAGTTTCTTTCGTTAGAAGCAGAACCCAAACATGGATGACAGTACGCAACGCAGCATGACGAGTGTAAAGAGAAGCTCCAGCACCAGAAACGTGGGACAACTACGTAGCCCAACGTAACCACTGCACTCAACTGTTAAGAGAAGACAAAGCCGCCTATCAGCAGAACATCGCAAAAACTTTCAGTGCTAACCAAACTGCTATACAAGCACGTTAATAGCCTACGAAAGGTGAGGCAAGGATTTCCTCGACTCAAGACGGCTGATGGCCCAACAAGAACGTCTATGGAAGCTGCAAACGCGCTGCAGATGCAATACGCCCCCACGTTTCAAGGTGTCTTGCCACCAAGCGATCTACCAAGCTTTGTATTCTGCTCACCAGGACTAACCCACATCAATTTTACCGCAGAGGCTGTATTGCAAAAGCTGACTTCTCTACGCAAACACAGCTCGCCGGGTGTCGACACCATTCGTCCAGAGGCATTGGGAGCAGCAGCAAACCAACTGGCATGACATTTAGCTCAGTTTTTTCAGCACTGCTTAGCGCGGAACCAAGTTCCCGCCATGTGGAAGCTTGGAATAATAACCCCGATTCACAAAGGTGGAAGCAGAACTGATCCCTCCAACTACCGCCCAGTAACTCTTCTTCATATACTCTCCAAGGTCATGGAATCCATAGTTGTCGATGCACTGGTGTGCTATCTGGAAAACTGCAACCTCATCACCCCTGAACAGCACGGTTTCCGTCGACAGCGGTCATGTACAACTAATTTACTCATTGCACGCAGTAGTTGGACCGAGGCAGCTGACGCTGGAGAAGGTGTTGATGTGATCTACCTGGATTTTCCAAGGCTTTCGATCGTCTAGACCATCGGATACTACTATCCAAGCTGCAGCATTACGGGATCGGCGACCCTCTTTTAAGCTGGATCGCCAACTTTCTATTTCAACGGCAATTAGTGGTCAGAGTTCGGAGCTCTTTCTCGGACCCCATACAAGTGGAGTGTGGTGTGCCGCAAGGCTCAGTTCTAGGTCCACGTTTGTTTTTGGTGTTTATTAATGACCTTGCACAGGGAATCGCTTCAAACTTCCTAATGTTTGCCGACGATATCAAGATCTGGCGCAGGATCCAGGC